TCAAAAATTCCGCTAAATAAATAAGCTCCTGGCTATAAAAGCAGAACGTGTTCATTTAATATTTAATAATATGTACAGTGTTTTTTTCTATAATATGGATTTATCAAAATAAGTATTATTTTATGTTATATTAATTATAAATTTAATGTATTCGTATTTTGTGAAATGTTTTTTTCGTAATAAAATGTTTGCAAAATGGGGAGGCAAATTGTTTGTTTTAAAAAACTTGGATTAGACTCGATCATTATTAGTTTATACTATGTATTAATTTTATATTTTATGTTATCATGTTTCATATAAAATATGTTTAGATAAATATATAGCTCTTGATTTTTCTGAAGTCTGAATTGGACAATTAATGGTCAGTTATGCCCATCCTCGATCATCTGGAAACAAAATTTCGTAAGGAATTTTTATTAAAATATTTGCAACCTATTACATTAATATAATCAAATCCTTTTAGCAATTCCTATTAACCCTCCTACGCTAGGAAAATGTTAAAACAAAATTACAATTCCTCCTTCTTCATCCAGCCAAGGAAATAAAGGTCTCTCCCGAATGCCTTTTCACTTACCTGGAATGCTCTGCTGACGTGACAGGCATGAATAAAGACGAAATGAAGCCTGATATGTTAATTTTAATAAGGAGATTAAGTATTAGTCCTTTATTTTACATCAAACACTGTCGTTCGTACCTGTATAAAACTACTGATTAAAAAAATATACATTAACGACATTTTTTCTTACGGAAAAAAGGTAGAATTCGCTACTAGTAACGGTTCTTGAGATATGTAAAACTTAATTTATCAATACCTGGTCATCATTGACATAAATTAAATATGTTGACTAAATAGTTACTAGACTGAAATCATAAATTTTAAATGTTTTTGTGCGAAAAGTTTAACAGAAACTGTTTTATCATAATTTTTTCGAAGAAAAATTTATGTTTAATTTAAAAAAATAAAAAGTTCCCAAATTTATCATTTCAGTCAATAATTCTGTGATATTGCTGGTCATCCCGTTTAGTCTGTGTTAGTTAATTAATTTTTATATTCTCTTTTTGTATTTTTTTATTTTAGTGTAGTATTTGATACCTATTGTAATTATGTATTATTTTTTGTTCTTATTTGTACTATTTTAAGATATATTTCATATTCAAAATAAAACACTAAATCACCACAATACACCAAAACACATTTACTTTTACACTGGACGCGCGTTTCGCTAACCATGTCAGCATCATCAGCAGATGATTATAAACTATTAGTTGGGCTTATAAGTAAGTTTTTTGTAGTCCGTAGGCTTCAATTTCAAGCATACTTTGTTTACTATACGGAAATTTGATTTCTAAATTAAGCCATTTTTGTTTTGCTATTTTCTCTACCTTATCACTAACGTTACTTTTTGGAATATCAACTTTAATAAAACTAGGATAAACTGAATTGGCTTTGTATCATTTAAGAAACCAAATATCTGCTCCTAATAACCTAATCTTAGTACTAAACTTACGATAAAGATTCAGTTCCGTTGACCGTGAAGCCATCGAAGATTACAGTTGAGGATTAGAACTTTTGGTGTTACACAGCAAAATAAAACACTAAATCACCACAATACACCAAAATACATTTACTTTTACACTGGACGCGCGTTTCGCTAACCATTATGTTGAATTTATAATCATCTGCTGATGATGCTAACATGGCAACTGTAATATATTACCTATTGTTTTGAAATTCCTGTAAGTGGGCTTCGGCCTGTCGGAAATAAACGACTATTTATTTCTTTATTATTTCCTTATTTCGATTCTAAATATCTTGAGAACGGTTGCTCATGGCGATTTTTGCCAAGATACATTTTTTACGTAAAAATCACGGAGATGTATATATTTTCACTCAGTAGTTTTATACGATTAGGGACGAAAAGTTATTACTTTTTAAAACAGTTAAAACACATGTAGATGGCACCTCTTACAAATATCAGTCATATTGACATAAAAATCAAATTTCTCCTGTCCGAAACAGACACCAATTTTCATCCAAATATTGACGTTGCTTCAGAAAACTATTTGGAAAAAATCGAAACAGAAATGATATTTCTACACCCTGTATCCCCGAAACTAAGCATTTTAGGACATACATTTATACGAACTTTTTTACTTGCCGAAGTTTCCTGAATACAGTTTGGTCCATCCACCATATTAAAAGGAGACAAGAACTTAAAATGCTTTACTTTCAGTCAAACTGCTTAAAGTGCTTAAATTTTAAGCGCATGTAGTCAGCAATATATTAAACTACCAGGTAGAAAATTGGGAAAGAAAAATTAAGTACAACAACTGCTGGATTTACTCCAGGGGCTTGAACTCGTCAAATTAACTACCTAGCAAACTACTTGCGGTAATTCACGCTAACTTTGTTGCAACTAATATAATTTCTCGGTTGCGGGAAATTAGTAGGTAACGAATTAAGCCTGGGAATAATACGAATATAAATCACAGCAGAAAA